AGACTCAGCCCCCCTCCCCACCCCATTGCAAGGGAGAGAAAGAAATTGAGAGGGGGGGGCTGCCTCCACTCCCCCACCCCCGGGACCCCATTGATAAAGAGAGAGAGAGAGAGATAAGCCAGGGGTCTTCAGACTTGGCCACTTTTAAGACTGGTGGACTTCAACTCCCAGAATCCCTCGGGGCTCTTCAGACTTGGCCGCTTTTAAGACTTGTGGACTTCAAGTCCCAGAATTCCTTGGGGCTCTTCAAACTTGGTCACTTTGTTTGGACTTCAACTGCCAGAATCCCTCTGGGCTCTTCAAACTTGGCCACTTTTAAGACTAGTGGACTTCAACTCCCAGAATTCCTCAGGGCTCTTCAAACTTGGCCACTTTTAAGACTCGTGGACTTCAACTCCCAGAATCCCTCAGGGCTCTTCAGACTTGGCCACTTTTAAGACTGGTGGACTTCGACTCCCAGAATCCCTCGGGGCTCTTCAAACTTGGCCTCCTTGGAAGGAAAAGACCCCGGGTGTCCGTGGGTGGGGAGACGTGGCCACCTACTAGCAACGTGGATGCCGCCTTGGCGGGACAGGGATGTGGCTGCTGGTGGACCCTGGGAGAAAAAGCAGTTTCTTTTCCCCCCTTTGAGCCCCGGCGGTTTCTCCCCCCCCACTTTCTCTGCTTTAGGAGTCTGGGGGTGCATTTCTCCAAGGTGAGGTCCCTGACGCTGGATGCCTGGGAGCCGGAGCTGGTGAAGGTAACCGGGGGGGGGGGAAGCAGAAGAAGCTGACCTATAAGTCAAAATGCCCCCCAAAGTAGGAAATGTGGGTGGGGTCCTGGTGGAGGGGGGGGCTAAGAAGGACCCCTTGATTTGGGGGATAGGCTGTTTTTCTGAAAAAGGGATGCAGAGCTTAACAAGGTTTGTGCGTCGCTCTGGATGAGCAGCCCTCGGAGTTGCAAGTGTACCGGGTTCGAATCCAGAGCGGGGAAGAGGGTCCGGGTCCGGCAGGGGGCAGGCTCAAGCCCAGAGGCGGCAAAATCTCTGGGCTGGCATCTGGGACTGGGGTGGCCCATAGGACCAGCCTTTTTGGGAAGGAAGGGGGAAGGAGGAGAGGAAGGAAGGGAGGGAGAGACGGAGGGAGGGAAGAAAGGAGAACAAGGAAAAAAGGAGAGGGAGGGAGGGAGGAGAGGAAGAAAAGAAAGGGAGAGAGGAAGGAAGATGGGAAAGGGACAAAGAGGAAGGAAGGAAGGAGACAGGAGGAGGGAGGGAGAGAGGAGAGGCTGAGGAATAAGGGGAGGAAAGGGAGGGAAGGAGGGAAGAAAGAACAAGGAAAAGGGAGGAGAGGGAGGAAAGGAGGGAGGAGAAAAGAGGGAGAGGAAGGAAGGAAGATGGGAAAGGGACAAAGAGGAAGGAAGGAAGGAACAGAAGGAAGGAAAGGAAGGAAGGAAGGAAGGCGGGGGAGGGAGGGAGGGAGGAGAGAGGAAAAAAGAATGGAAGGAAGGAGAGGAAGAAAGGGAGTGAGGAGAGAGAACAGGAAGAAAAGAAAGGGAGAGAGGAAGGAAAGAAGAGAGAAGAGGAAGGTAGGAAGGAAAGGAAGAAGTGAAAGGGACAACGGAAAGAAGGAAGGAAGGAGGGAGAGAGGGAGGGAGGAGAGGCTGAGGAATAAGGGGAGGAGAGGGAGGGAGGAGAGGAAGGGAGAGAGAAGAGGAAGAAAAGAAAGAGAGAGGAAGGAAAGAAGAGAGAAGAGGAAGGAAGGAGACAAATGAGAGGAAGGAAGGAAGGAAAGGAAGAAGTGAAAGGGACAACAGAAAGAAAGAAGGAAGGAGAGGGAGGGAGGGAGGGACGGAGGAGAGGTTGAGGAATAAGGGGAGGAGAGAGAGGGAGGAGAGGAAGGGAGAGAGGAGAGGAAGAAAAGAGGGAGAGAGGAAGGAAAGAAGAGAGAAGAGGAAGGAAGGAAGGAATGAGAGGAAGGTAGGAAGGAAAGGAAGAAGTGAAAGGGACAACGGAAAGAAGGAAGGAAGGAGGGAGGGAGGAGAGGCTGAGGAATAAGGGGAGGAGAGAGAGGGAGGAGAGGAAGGGAGAGAGGAGAGGAAGAAAAGAGGGAGAGAGGAAGAAAAGAGGGAGAGAAGAAGGAAAGAAGAGAAGAGGAAGGAAGGAAGGAAGATGAGAAAGGGACAAAGGAAGGAGGGAGGGAGGGGAGGCTGAGGAATAAGGGGAGGAGAGGAAGGAAGGAGAACGGAAGAAAGGGAGTGAGGAGAGGAGAGGAAGAGAAGAAAGGGAGAGAGGAGGGAAAAAAGAAGAGAGAAGAGGAAGGAAGGAGACAAATGAGAGAAGGAAGGAGTGGAGAGGAGAGGAGAGGAGTAGAGTGGAGAGGAAGTTTCCAGCGGCCCGGACCCCTTAGCCTCCTCCTGCCCTACTCCTCCCCTACCACTTGGAGGTAGGACCCTGTAGTGTAGGCCAGACGCTGAGATGAAGCCCCCCCCTCCTCCTTCGCCCCCCACCCCTCCCTTGTCCCTGGCAGCTGATGTCCGTGCTGGGAAACCGAGTCATCAACCAGATCTACGAGGCCCGGGTGGAGGAAATGAACATGAAGCGCCCCCAGCCAGGAAGTTCCAGGTAAGAACCCCCCTCCCCTTCTATCAAACACCCCCCCCTGCCCCCCCCCACCTGGTCATCCAAAAATTGAGTCCATAACAACTTTGGGGCCTTTTTTTTTCTTCCCCTTTGTGGTGTCTCCACACCTGCCCTCCAGGGGGCGCAAGTGAAGGGCTGGAGTTACACCTCTCGGCCTCTAGATGGCCTCGTGGGACACCTGCAGGGCCCCCTGTCCTCCCGCTCTAATCCTACAGGTGGCTTGTGCGAATTCGGAGGAGCTTGTGCCCTAAACCACACACACACACACACACACACACACACACACACAGAACCGTCAACAGTTCTGGGTGCGAGAGTACCGACAGATCAAAAACTGAAAGAGGGCGCCTGCCCTTCCCTGTCTGTCCAGATCCGAAAAGGAGGCCTGGATCCGGGCCAAATACGTGGAGAGGAAGTTTATCACCAAGTTCCCCAACACCGGGAGGGCCCTGAGTCGCAGCAGAGAGCCCCCCAGGGGGCCGGAGAGATCCCCAAGGCCGTTTCCCAAGCCTAAGCCGCCGGGCCACATCCGCCGGAACACAGGTAAGACGGGGGTGGGGTGGGTGAGGGGGCTGGACTAGAAGACCTCCAGGGTCCCTTCCAGCTCCTATTCTATTCTATTCTATTCTATTCTATTCTATTCTATTCTATTCTATTCTATTCTATTCTGTATTTTATTATTCTATTCTATTCTATATTATATTTTCTATTCTGTAATTCTATTCTATTCTATTCTGTATTTTATTATTCTGTTCTATTCTATATTATATTTTCTATTCTGTAATTCTATTCTATTCTATTCTGTATTTTATTATTCTATTCTATTCTATATTATATTTTCTATTCTGTAATTCTATTCTATTCTATTCTGTATTTTATTATTCTATTCTATTCTATATTATATTTTCTATTCTGTAATTCTATTCTATTCTATTCTATTCTATTCTGTATTTTATTATTCTGTTCTGTTCTGTTCTATTCTATTCATATTCTATCCTATTCCTATTCTATTCTATTCTATATTCTATTCTATTCTGTTCTATTCTGTATTTTATTATTCTATTCTATTCTATTCTATTCTATTCTATTCTATTCTATTCTATTCTATTCTATTCTATTCATATTCTATCCTATTCCATTCCATTCCATTCCATTCTATTCTGTATTTTATTATTCTATTCTATTCTATTCTATTCTATTCTATTCTATATTCTATTCTATATTCTATTCTATTCTATTCTATATTCTATTCTATATTCTATTCTATATTCTATTCTATTCTGTTCTATTCTGTATTTTATTATTCTATTCTATTCTATTCTGTATTTTATTATTCTATTCTATTCTATTCTATTCTATTTTCTATTCTATTCTATATTCTATTCTATTCTATTCTGTTCTATTCTGTATTTTATTATTCTATTCTATTCTGTTCTGTTCAATTCTGTTCTGTTCTATTCCTCATATTTCTATTCTGTTCTATTCTATTAGGGTCACTAAACGAGGACCCCCTAAAGGCCTTGCTCTTTTGTCATACCGTTCCTGCTTTCTCTCCTAGGAGCCCGCGAGGGAATCTCCCCGAGTCGGGCTGCCCCAGCGTCGGAGGACCTGCACAATTTGCACCCGGGCGCCTTGCTCTACCGCGCGGCCGCCGCGCCCCCCAGTTTGCCCACCATGACGGACGCTCTGGCTCACGGGGCGGACGTAAACTGGGTGAACACGGCCCAGGAAAGCCGGACCCCGTTGCTCCAGGCTGTCGCTGCTGTGAGTCTGCCCGTCCGGGGTGGGGAGGGCTGATGTGCTCGGCTTGACAGCCGCGCCCCAAGCATTGACAGGCAGGGAGTCCTCGACTTACGACGGCTTCATTTAGCGACCATCAAAGGTTACAACGGCTCTGGAAAAAAAGCAATTGACGTCCATTTTTCACACTTGCGACCGTCGCATCCTCCCCGTGGCCACTGGGTCAACATTCGGACGCTTGCCCCTTGACTCGCATTTATGACGGTCGCAGTGTTCTGGGGTCAAGGGGAAACTCCATTGCGGTCGTAAGTTGAGGACTGCCTGTGATTTGATTGCCGGAAAAATGAGAAAGAAATATAAGGGCAGGCTGGGAAAAAACCGACAAAAAATTTTGCCTGGCCGGCTGTAAAACGGGCCGGTCAGCAAGGCACAAACTCTGCTTTTGTGGCCTCTGAGCATGTGCAGTGATTACTGTCTCATTGGGGTGTGGTAACAAGTGCGGGAAGGAGGGGCTTGTTGAGTGATGTCACTATGGGGAGGGGCTTGTCCCAGACCGTCCCGCCTCTCCTTTGCTGTTGGGACCACATTTTTTTGTGTGTTTTTATCCAGAATTCATTGCTGGCGTGTGAATTTTTGCTTCAAAACGGAGCCAACGTCAACCAGGCGGACTCTAAAGGGCGAGGACCGCTGCACCACGCCACCATCTTAGGCCACACCGGGTAGGACTCTCCTCTTTGTCTGGTTGATTCTCCTGCTCCAGCAGGGGGGCTGGACTAGAAGACCTCCGAGGTCCCTTCCAGCTTCTATTCTATTCTATTCTATTCTATTCTATTCTATTCTATTCTATTCTATTCTATTATTCTGTTCTTTCATTATTCTATTCTATTCTAATTTTATTATTCTAATCTATTATTATGTTCTTTCATTATTCTGTTCTGTTCTATTCTATTCTATTCTGCATTCTATTCTGCATTCTATTCTGTTCTGTTCTATTCTAATTCTGTTCTATTACGTTCTATTCTATTCTATTCTATTCTTCATTCCTATATTTATTCTATTCTATTCTATTCTATTCTATTCTATTCTATTCTATTCTATTCTATAGTTTATTATTCTATTCTATTATTCTATAGTTTATTATTCTATTCTATTCAATTCTATTCTAATTTTATTATTCTATTCTATTATTACGTTATTTCATTATTCTATTCTATTCTATTCTATTCTATTCTATTATCTGATTGATTGATTGATTGATTGATTAATTGAAATGGTATAGAGTCTCCTCCTTGAGCAGGGGGCTGGATTTGAAGACCTCCAAAGTCCCTTCCAGCTCCTATTCTATTCTAAATTCTCCCCTATTTTTCCTACTATTTGGTTTTGTATTGTGTTTGTATTTTATACCCTAAACCAGGGGTAGGCAATCTTGGCTCCCTTGATGATTCGTGGACTTCAACTCCCAGAATTCCTGAGCCAGCATGGCTCAGCTTGGAAATTCTCCCTTTCCCCTCAGCGTGGCTGGCTCAGGAATTCTGGGAGTTGAAGTCCACGAGTCATAAAGGGGCCATAATCCCCCCATGCTGGCTCAGGAATTCTGGGAGTTGAAGTCCACCAGTCATAAAAGGGCCAAGGTTGCCTACCCCTGCCCTAAACAAATAAAAAAAAGGAGCAATGACCCCCCCCCACCCCCCAAAATCCCCTCAAACAGCTGGGGCAAGACCTTGCTGAGCGACTGCCTCGCTTAGCAGCGGAAATTTGGGACTCAACCAATTGTGGACTGCCCGTAATTTTATTTTCGCCCCAAATAGCCAAAGCGATCTGTCGACTCTCCAGGAACCTCTTATTCAAACCTCTGTACCCCTTTTTTCCTCCCCCCCAGGCTGGCCTGCCTGTTTCTCAAACGCGGTGCCAACATGAACGCCGTGGACGGGGAGGGCAAGGACCCGCTGGGCATTGCCATCGATTCGACCAACGCGGATATCGTGACCTTGTAAGCGGACGGGGTGCCAGGGCGGCGGAACCAGTTTTCGGCGCCCGGAGGAAGGGAGGGGGACATTGGGAGGGGGGGGGTCTTGACCTTTGGGCTCTTCCTGAAATCATCTGCATGCTGGAGAAAGAGAGGCAGTCTGTTGGAGTGCCGAAGGTGGATTTATTGCAAGGGAATGGGTCACCCGGTGGCCATCCAGACCCTCCCTCTTATTTCAGCGGGGGTTCCTTGACCAATTTTAAGACCTGACGTGTTTGCCCTCTGAGCATGTACAGGTAACCGGAACTGAACCCAGCCTGGAAGCTTCCCACTCAGAACAGATCTCACATGGAATGGGTCACCCAGTGGCCATCCAGACCCTCCCTCTTATTTCAGCGGGGGTTCCATGACCAATTTTAAGATCTGATATGTTTGCCATGGTTTAGGTTCCTCCCGCTTGCCCTCTGAGCGTGTCAAGGTAACCAGGACTGAACCCAGCCTGGAACTTTCCCACTCAGGTCTCACATGGAATGGGTCACCCAGTGGGCATCCAGACCCTCCCTCTTATTTCAGCGGGGGTTCCATGACCAATTTTAAGACCTGACATGTTTGCCGTGGTTTCTGCTTGCCCTCTGAGCATGTCAAGGTAACCAGGACTGAACACATCCTGGAAGCTTCCCACTCGGGTCTTACCTGGCACCAGTGGGAGTTTCTGAACCGTCTCATAGGGTAGCCCCGTAAAGGATGCATTACAGTAGTCTAGTCTCGGTTAGAGCAATGCTCTCTGCCTAAAGTTGGGATGCAGGTCCCCAAATTGGCAGAAAGGTGGAGACTAGGTTGGGTGGGTTATTTTGGGTGGGTGGGAGGGAGGGAGGGCGCCCTGTTTGGGAGGGCTAGGGATAACCAGGATAACATTTGGGGATTTAGTAAGAATCCTTCATGGCTTCTCCTTTCTTTCTCTGAAGGCTGCGACTGGCCAAGATGCGGGAAGCTGAACTGGCCTTAGGCCAGTCAGGTAAGCCATGCCCTCTGTAAGAAGGAATGGAAGGGGGAGATGGAAGAGGGAGACAGACTCGGCTCTAAGCTGGACGTTCTTTTGTGAAATGTGAATTTTCAGGTGAAAATTGAGCTGGGGCAGGACTAGAACTCACCGTCTCCTGGTGATAGGCCCAAAGTCACCCAGCCGGCTTGCATGTTTAATGGTGGACTAGAACTCACCGTCTCCTGGTGATTGGCCCAAAGTCACCTAAATGGTTTTTACGCCTATAATAATAATAATAATAATGATAAAGTTGGAAGGGACCTTGGAGGTCATCTAGTCCAACCCCCTGCTCAGGCAGGAAACCCTATACCATTTCAGACAAATGGCTGTCCAGTCTCTTCTTAAAAACTTCCAGTGTTGGAGCATTCACCACTTCTGGAGGCAGGTTGTTCCACTGGTGGGACTAGAGTGGGACTAGAACTCACAATCTCCTGGTGATTGGTCCAAACTCACCCAGCCTCCTTTCCTGCCTAAGGCGGGACTAGAACTCACCGTCTCCTGGTGATTGGCCCAAAGTCACCCAGCCAGCTTTCATCTTTAAGGTGGGACTAGAACTCACCGTCTCCTGGTGATTGGCCCAAAGTCACCCAGCTAGCTTTAATGTTTAAGGCGGGACTAGAACTCACCGTCTCCTGGTGATTGGCCCAAAGTCAGCCAGCCGGCTTTCATGCCTAAGGCGGGACTAGAACTCACCGTCTCCTGGTGATTGGCCCAAAGTCACCCAGCCGGCTTTCATGCCTAAGGCGGGACTAGAACTCACCGTCTCCTGGTGATTAGCAACCAAAACTGGATGTGATATCCCAAGTGTGGCCTTATAATAACCTCGTTCTTTTGGTTCCAGGGGATGAAACTTACCTGGACATTTTCCAAGATTTCTCCTTCATGGCGTCCAACGATCCTGAGAAATTGGCCAGGAGAGCCTACGACCTGAGACTCACCACGTTGTGAAGCCCTGGAGAAGGTTCCTCAAGACGGGAAACCCGCCAGGAACGTGGTCATTTCCGTCGTCCAGGACCGACGGGGCGGCTGGACAGTCCAAAAAAATCAAATTAAGTTGCAAATGGACTCCAGAAGTCCAAGGGGCTGGTTTTAAGCATGGGGTCCCCCAAACGTACTTCTCCAAAGTTGGCTTTGGGGGTGAACTTGGCCAGAAAACAGCCAGGACAGCGAAGATCAGAGCGTGGACACTCTTTTCATTTTGAACCCTTCTGTTTTTCCCTTCTGATCTTCCTTTTTTGTTTGTTTTTTGTTTTAATTTATTGCTTTTGGACTGTCTATCCTTGCGGAACGATGCTAAAGGGACAGATACGGAATCAATTTGCGCCCCAAATCTAATTTTTTTTTCTTTTCTTTTCTGAGTCTGGAAACCGCGACGTCTCGGCCTGGAGAGGTGAAAAACGGGGTGTTTTTGGAGCTGGGAAAGCTGTGTGTTTTATTTGGGAATAAATGTGGTTTTCCAGAGGACCAGAATGATGGTTTATAAGTCGCGGGCTGGATTCTTAGGCCCGGAGATCTCAAAAAATGGGGTTGCTGCACGTCATTGATGATTGTCTGTTTTAGAAATTTGTCGTCCATGTCCGAATTGCATGCTTTTTCACGTATTTTTTTTACCAGCTAAACTTTTGGAAGAGTTAATTCCTCATTTAGTAGATCCAGGGGACGCCCTGAACATAGTTTTTACCTGGAGCTCAGCAAAGGCTGTAATGGAGTGACAGACTTCCTCATAAAATGGTAAATTATGGGCCAGCTGATAATTGATAGAAGGACCACAAAAAAAAAGATATTCCTGAATTACTCTGGCTGGGGAATTCTGGGAGTTGAAGTCCACATATCTTAAAATTGCCAAAACTAAGGTCCGTTCCAACTTTGTCATTCTATGATTCTGTAAGGGTCTCCTGCTTGAGCTGGGGGCTGGACTAGATGACCTCCCAGGTCCCTTCCAACTCTGTCCTTCTGTAATTCTGTAAGGGCCTCCTGCCTGAACAAGGGGGTTGGACTAGATGACCTCCAAGGTCCCTTCCAACTCTGTCCTTCTGTAATTCTGTAAGGGCCTCCTGCCTGAACAAGGGGGTTGGACTAGATAACCTCCGAGATCCCCTGCAACTCTGTCCTATGATTCTGTAAGGACCTCCTGCTTGGGCAGGGGGCTGGACTAGACTTCCAAAGTCCCTTCCAACTCCGTTATTCTGTAATTCTGTTAAGGGTCTCCTGCCTGAGCAGGGGGTTGGGCTAGATGACCTCCAAGGTCCCTTCCGACTCTTGTCATTCTGCAAAGATTCCTGTAAGCTGAGCTCATTGGTTTACACTTATTATACGCTAGGGCTCTTGTTTGTTTTGGAAAGTTGTCCGTAGCGTCTAAATCGCCTATTTGTTCACCGTTTACTTTCTCTAAACCTTTGAAAGAGTTAATTCCCCATTTAATAGATCCAGGGAATGCCCCGATGTAGTTTATCTGGTTCTTAGCAATGGGTTTAACCGAGTTATATAAACAAAATCACGTGGAGTATTAGTAGCGCTTTGGAAAGCCTTAGTAAGGCCACACCTGGAATGTTGCCTGCAGTTTTGTTCACCACATTACAAAAAAAAAGATGTTGAGATTTTGGAAAAAGAGCAGAGAAGAGCAACAGAGACGATTAAAGGCCTGGAGACTAAAACATGAAGGATGGCTACAGGAATTGGGGATGTCTAGTTTAATGGGGGGGGGAAGAACTAGGGGAGACATGATAGCAGTATTCCAGTATTTGAGGGGGCTGCCACGAAGAAGAGGGGGGGTCCACTTATTCTCCAAAGCGCCTGAAGGCAGGACAAGAAGCAACGGATAGAAACTAACCAAGGAGAGAAGCAACCTGGAATTAAGAAGAAACTTCCTGACAGGGAGGACAATTAACCAGTGGAACTGCTAGCCACCAGACGTTGTGGGTGTTTCTTCACTGGAGATTTTTAAGAAGAGACTGGACAGCCACAGCAGGGGGGGGGAATGGACTAGAAGACCTCCAAGGTCCCTTCCAGCTCTATTCTGATTCATTGATTGAGTGTCTTGTAATAAACTTCTTCATAAAACGATAGAATATGGGCTACGTGAGATACCACAGCTGGATCCAGTTAGTGGAATGAATAGAATAGAATAGAATAGAATAGAATAGAATAGAATAGAATAGAATAGAATAATAAAATAATAGAATAGAATAATAAAATACAGAATAGACTAGAATAGAATTAGAATAGAATAGAACAGAAATAAGGAATAGAATAGGAATAAGGAATAAAGAATAGAATAATAAAATATAGAATAGAAGAATAGAATAGAATAATAAATTACAGAATAGAATTGAATAGAATAGAATAGGAGAAAATGAATAGAATAGAATAGAATAGAATAATAAAACAATAGAATAGAATAATAAAACAATAGAATAGAATAATAAAATACAGAATAGACTAGAATAGAATTAGAATAGAATAGAATAGAAATAAGGAATAGAATAGAATAGAAATAAGGAATAGAATAGGAATAAGGAATAACGAATAGAATAGAATAATAAAATATAGAATAGAAGAATAGAATAGAATAATAAAATACAGAATAGAATTGAATAGAATAGAATAGGAGAAAATGAATAGAATAGAATAGAATAGGAGCCACTAAACAAATGGCCATTAAGTCGAGGACTCCCTGTAACACAGGAGCACGGCCTCCTCGAAAGAGTCCTGTTTGCTTTGTGCCACGGAAGCCGAGCCCTCTGCACATGCTCAACCCAACTGTCGCCTTCCCTGTCACGCATCCGGTCCAGGATTATCCTCAGAATATTCTATTTCAGCTTTGGAATTTGACCAGAGGGACTTCACTCAAAGGCACAAACTGTGATTTGAAGTTTGGGAGGGGAGGGGGGGGTCAGCCCCAAATGGGTGCCCTCCCTGTGCCCTCTGTTAATCCTGGGGGGGGGGGTCAGCCCCTCCTTCCTTCCCTCCCTTCCTCCCTCCCTCCTTGGGGGCAGAGCCAGCCTGCGGCTCTCCAGTTTTTTTTGCAGGAGCGCCAAAGGTGCCCTTTGGTGGGTGCCCATTGCCCCCCCTCCTGGCTCCTGGCAGACAAAGCCTCACCTGGTTAAAGGTGCATTTCTACCTTCAGCTGCTGCAGGTAAAGAATTTGGGGGGGTGGGGGTGGGGTTAGGGAATGAGGAAGGGGGGGAATTTGCCCCACACCTTGACTCCCCGAAGATTTTATATATACCTTCCCCTATTTCTCTCACCTCATGTACAGGTCTCGTCCTATTGTCTAGGAGTCTCACACCTTCATTTGGGGGGGGGGGGCACAGGTAACCTGCGACCCCCCCCCCAGAGGGGCTGAATTGCCCTGCCCCATAGCTCCGCAACCGGCCGCAGGGAATTGGGGTCAGTCTGCTTCTAAGCCTTGACCGGGTACCAATTTCCCCCCCCACCCAATAAAGGGTGCCCCTCCAGAATGGGGGGGGGGTTTCTTATGTCTCCATTTGTCCCCCAACCCCTTCTCCCCTGGGGGGGTTCCCGTCTGCATTTCTTCCCTCCTCTTTGCAAGCCCCCCCACCCTCTCACCTGCGATCCCAGGTTTAAAAAAAAAAAGCACCAATCCCAATCGTGGGCAAAACTACCATAATTTTAAGGTTAAAATCACCCTTTGCAACAAATATATCCTGGCTTACAAAAAAAAAAAGCCGGTTTCCCAGGCGGATGGGGTTACAGCTCAGCGCCCCCCCCCCTTCCCCTGCTCACACACACACACACACACACACACACACACACACACACACACACACAAACACACACACTGACTTAACCGGTTCCAGGTTCTCTCCCCTCTCCCTCTCTCCGGCTTAGTAAATTAAACCGGGTTTGTTCCAAATCCTTCGGTTTATTGCAAACTCCATGAGGGGTATCCGACTGGATCTGCTTTCCGGCGAGGGGGAGGGAACGGAGAGGCGGGGGGCGGGCTAAAGCGCGAACAGTCCTCAAACTTACGACGGCAAACCCGAGGCCAAAGTTTCCGTTGCTAAGCGAGACACTTGTTGAAGCGACTTTGGCCCCACTTTACGACCTTTCTGGCCAGCCGTCCTTAAGTGAATCGCTGCAGTCATTAAGTTAATTACATGGTCGTTAAGTGGGTCACGCGACCCAGGAATGGCTACCGTAGTCGTTAAGTGTGAAAAACAGCGGTAAGTCACTTTTTTCAGTGTTGTGGTAAGTTTGAGTGGTCGCTAAATGAACTCTTGTAAGTTGAGGACTAATTATTATTTATTATTATTATTAGTAGTAGTAGTAGTAGTAGTAGTAGTAACAACAACAATAATAATCATTCACTGCTAATAAAGTTGGAAGGGACCTCGGAGTAATAGTAATAGTAATAGTAATAGTAATAGTAATAGTAATAGTAATAGTAATAAATAAACCTGTATATAATGTAATGTACACTAACTACATCATACAAAAATCCCTCTTCCTCGTTTTACTTTGGACAACTCAGCAACTCACAATCTTCTGCTCAGAACAGTACACAAAAACCACACAAAACACACCTGTTGTGTTCAGCATAACTTGAAACGCATCGCTTCCCCACGGTTTGACGGAAGACCGCGCCTGCCCTCTGCAGGCCAGGATTAGTATTGCACGGCTCCAGATTTCGTCTGTTTGCAAACCGATGGACGAATCAGAATAGAGCTAGAAGGTGCCTGGGAGGTCATCTAGTCCAACCCCCTGCTCAGGCAAGGAGAACCTATACCATTTTGGACAAATGGCTGTCCAGTCTCTTCTTAAAAGCTTCCAGCGTTGGAGCATTCACCGCTTCTGGAGGCAGGTAGTTCCACTGGTTAATTGTTCTGTCAGGAAGTTTCTCCTTAATTCCAGGTTGCTTCTCTCCTTGATTGAGTTGGAAGGGCTCTTGGAGGTCTTCTAGTCCAACCCCCTGCTCAAGCAGGAGATCCTAGAATAGAATAGAATAGAATAGAATAGAATAGAATAGAATAGAATAGAATAGAAGCTGGAAGGGACCTTGGAGGTCTTCTAGTCCAGCCCCCCACTCAAGCAGTAGACCCTATTATACCCTTTCAGACGTGACTGTCCAGTCTCGTCTTAAAAACCTCCAGTGATGGATCACCCACACCTTCTGGTGGCAAGCAGTTCCCCTGGCTCATCGTCCTCCCTCTTAGGAAGTTTCTCCTTAGTTCCAGGTTGCTTCTCACCTTGATTAGACGCTTTACCTTCCTCTCCAGGATCAGGTGTGGGGCCAGCAGACCTCCTCCTGAAGCCCCCCACCCCCCCCCAGCAGCTGGAGAAGATGCTGCCCCTGGAAGACCCCCCGGATGGAGGTTGGGGCTGGATGGTCGTCCTCGCAGGGTTCCTAGTGAACTCGCTGACCTTCGGCGTCTTGCGCTCCTTGGGCGCCCTCACGGAAGGCCTGGTGGGGGCTTTCGAGGCCACCACGGCCCAGGTGTCCTGGGTGACGGGCATCACCTTGGCCACCAAGCAGTTTGCAAGTAAGTTTTTCCCCCCCCGCGGGGCCAACGCCGAGTAGGCCCCGCTTCGTTTCTGCTTTTCGCACCCGGAACTCCACTTTTCCCGTCCTCGTCTTTGCGGCCAAGCTGATCCAAGAGGGCGCGGCGGCAGCATGACAGGTCGAAGCAAAAAAAAAAAAAAATGCCCTGCGGTGTCGTCGGGCAGGTGCTCGCGAGCGCCCTCACAAAATGGCTGCCGCCCTGGTTCGGGAATAAGGGGCGAAGCAGCCGTGGGTTCCCAAGTTAGCCAACTGATGTTAGTCCAGCGATCTCAGCTTCTTCTTTTTCCAAGACGGTCACAGAAAGCATGGGTGTTTTGTTACAGGCCCAGTCCTCATTTTACGACGGTTCGTTTAGTGACTAAGTTACAACGGCACTGAAAAAAAGGGACATGCCCGTTTTTCACACCACCGTTGCGGCCTCCTCGCAAAATTTGGAGGCTTGGCAACTGACTTGTATTTATGACGGTCGCAGCGTCCCGGGGTGGGTCACACACGATCCCCTTTTGCGACCGTCTGACAAGCGAAGTCCGTGGGGGGGGCAGATTCACTTAACAACCGTGTTACTAACTTAACTGCCCATCTTAACGCATGCTGGTCTGGGGAATTCTGGGAGTTGAAGTCCACCCATCTTAAAGGATGCTGGCTGGGGAATTCTGCGACTTACGACTAGTCCTCACTCTTATGACCATCAGCGCATCTCTACTGTGGAGTAATCAAAATTCAGGCGTTTTGACAACCAATGTGTTGCAGCATGGTGTGGGGGGGTCACGTGATACACACACACCCATTTGCCACCTTCCCAGCTGGCTTCCGACAAGCAAAGTCAGTAAGGGAAGCCAGCTTCGCTTAACGACCGCACGACTCGCTTAACGACGGCGGAGGCCAAAGGTGGTAAAATCAGTTGCAACTCGTTTTAACAACCGGCGATTCTTTTCCGTGCTGCGAAAGGGGGGGGCGTTTTCCAACACACACACACACACACCCCGACTCGCTGTCTCGTCCTGGCAGGTCCCCTGGGCACGGCGGCCAGCACCCGCTACGGCGCCCGTCCGGTGGTCATGCTGGGGGGGTTCCTCTCTTCGTTGGGCCTCTTGGCGGCCGCGTTCAGCACCACCTTGCTCCAGTTATACCTCAGCCTGGGATTCCTGACAGGTGAGTCGGGCTCAAGATGGCTGCCGGGGCCTAGTTGAAGCTCCGCCCCTTTTATGTGTGATGCTTCTGGGTGTGATGGCTCTCTGGGGTGGCCATCTTAACTTTTTTGACCTCCCCCCTGCCTGAGCCTTTTCTATCCAGAGCTCGTTTTGTCCAGGGGTTCAAAAATGCGAGGAAAAGTGAGAGCGTGAGTTCCAATCACGCCTTAGAAATAAAAGGTGGCTTTGGGCCAATCGCCAGGAGACGGGGAGTTCTAGTTTCACCTGAGGCATGAAAAGCAGCCGGGTTAGTTGGAGTCAATCGCCCAAAGGTGGGGAGTTCTAGTCCCGCATTAGGCACGAAAGCCCGCTGGGTGACTTTGGGCCAATCACCAGGAGACGGTGAGTTCTAGTCCTGCCTTAGCCATGAAAGCTGGCTGGGTGACTTTGGGGCCAATCACCAGGAGACGGTGAGTTCTAGTCCTGCTTTAGGCATGAAAGCCGGCTGGGTGACTTTGGGCCAATCGTCAGGAGACGGTGAGTTCTAGTCCTGCCTTAAACATGAAAGTCTGCTCGGTGACTTTAGACTGATCACCAGGAGACGGGGAGTTCTAGTCCCGCCTTATCCATGAAAGCCGGCTGGGTGACTTTGGGCCAATCACCAGGAGACGACGAGTTCTAGTCCTGCCTTAGGCATGGAAGCCAGTTGGGCGTCTTTGGGCCAATCTCCAGGAGACGGTGAGTTCTAGTCCTGCCTTAGGCACGAAAGCCGACTGGGTGACTTTGGGCCAGTCCCTCTCTCTCTCAGCCCCACTCACCTTACAGGGTTGTTGTGAGTAAAACAGGAGGAGGAAAGAGTGTTCGGGATACGTTTATCACCTTGAATTATTTGTAGAAAATTAAGGTGGGCTATAAATTAATCGAGACAGATATAATAAATCTCTTTTTTTTTCCTCCCTTCCGTCTGCCTGCAGGTTTGGGCTGGGCCCTGGCCTTCGCCCCCACCATGGGCACCCTCGCCCGCTATTTCTCCAGCCGCCGCTCGCTGGCCGTGGGCCTGGCCTTGACCGGCAACGGCCTGGCCTCTTTGGCCCTCTCGCCCCTCCTGCGCCTGGCGGCCGACCACCTCGCCTGGCGAGGCACCTTGCTGGCCGCCTCGGCCTTGACCCTCCACCTGGTGCCCGGCGGGGCCCTCCTCCGGCCCCTGGCCCTGCGGGGAGACCCCCCCAAGCTGACCGCCCTCTTTGATTTGGGCCTCTTCGCCCAGCGAGGCTTCGGGGCCTTCGTCCTGGGCACTGCCCTCTTGGCCGCTGGCTACTTCGTCCCCTACGTCCACCTGGATGCCTACGGCCGGGCGCTAGGCATGGAGGCGTACAGAGCGGCCTTCGTGGTCTCGCTGGCCGGCTTAGCCGACGCCCTGGCCCGGCTACTGGCCGGCTGCGTGGCTGACCGGTGTCTCTTGCCCCCCGTCTACCTGCTGGTGGCCGCCAACTCCTTGGTGGGGGTCAGCCTGCTCTTCTTCCCGGCCTCCTCCGCCTCCTATGCCAGCCTGCTCGCCCTGGCTTTGCTCTACGGCGCCAGCGCGGGAAGCTTCGCCACGCTGGCCTTCGGGGTCTTGCCCGAGCTGGTGGGCGTCGGCCGCGTGGTGAACGCCACGGGGCTGTGCATGATGTCCATGAGCGTCGGGGGCTTGCTGGGACCCCCCCTCTCGGGTAAGGAGGAGAGGGGTGCTGCAGGGTGGGTGTACGGGGTGACTGTTGGGGGGGGCTCAGTCCAGGTGTAGCTCTATTGTCGATATCATCATCATCATAAAGTTGGAAGGGACCTTGGAGGTCATCTAGTCCAACCCCCTGCTCAGGCAGGAAACCTTAGAACATTGCAGACAACTTCCAGTATTGGAGAAGGGAGGGAGGAAATTAAAAAAAAGAATAGCAGAACAACAGACTCGGAAGGGACCTTGGAGGTCATCTAGTCCAACCCCCTGGTCAGGCAGGAAACCCTATATACCATTTCAGACGAAGGACTGTCCAGTCTCTTCTTAAAAACTTCCAGTGTTGGAGAAGGGAGGGAGGGAGGGAAGAAGCAATGAAGGAAGGTAGGAAGGAATAACAGAATAACAGACTCGGAAGGGACCTTGGAGGTCATCTAGTCCAACCCCCTGCTCAGGCAGGAAACCCTATATACCATTTCAGACAAAGGGCTGTCCAGTCTCTTCTTAAAAACTTCCAGTGTTGGAGGAGGGGGAGAAGAAGGAAGGAAGGAAGGAAGGAATAACACAATAACAGACTCGGAAGGGACCTTGGAGATCATCTAGTCCAACCCTCGGCTCAGGCAGGAAACCCTATAGTACCATTTCAGACAAAGGGCAGTCCAAAAGATTGATTAAACAACAACAATGATGGATTCAGGGTTGTTTAATCAATATTTCTCAGACGTGGCCCCTTTAAGGCGGGTGGACCTCAACTCCCAGAATCCCCCATCCAGCACATCAATTGCCCATTTAATTCTCCTACCATATAACCCCACCCCCATCTAACTGGGTTTATTAATTTAGCTTGTCAGGGGTTAGGTTTTTTTTCACTTTGCTGAAGTCAAGGTATATTACATCTATTCTACCGCATCCCTCAATAAAAAAAAAAGTGATATTTGTCCCCGTCCTAGCCATGCTGAATTCCGATAAACCTTTGCTGGCTGGGGAATTCTGGGAGTTGAAGTCCACGCATCTTAATTCATGCTGGCTGGGGAATTCTGGGAGTTGAAGTCCACGCATCTTAATTCATGCTGGCTGGGGAATTCTGGGAGTTGAAGTCCCCCTGCCTTGAACTGGCCATGGTTGCGAAACATGACTAAACCCCACCTGCCTTCTGGGAATCTCGCCAACGGGTGAACCCGGGCCACTATTTTCAGTCAGACTGAGGGTTTCTCTGACAAACCATGATTAAGCCAACAATGCTGGCTTAGGCCTCCTCGTCTCTTCTTTTCTTCCCAGGCTTCCTGCGGGACCAAACTGGAGACTTCGCTACCTCGTTCCTGGTTGGGGGGGGCTTTGTCCTCTGTGCCAGTCTGGTCTTCCTTGCCCTCCCCTCCCCCTTGTCCGGATGCTGCAGCCCCCAGTCGGGCGAGATGCCCGCTGCTGTGGGGCATCGGAAACCTCCCCGCCCCATGACGGCCAGGAGACCTTTGGAAATATGAAAGACACCCCACGTTCCTTCCCGCCATGCCCATCACAGCCAACCCGACAAGGATGATGGGCGTGTGAATCCAATCTACTAAAGCGGTCCCAGCTTCTGGGCGCTCTCTTCCGGCCCCCTTCTGCAACCATGCGCCCTCCGACGAGTGCGCAATTTAACGGGACTCCCCACTGGGGTGCAACAGGGAGAGGACCCTCCCCCCAATTGAGGGGAGGGGTGACCCAATGCATCGAACCCATCGTCCACTGCCTTGGCAGGAAAGGCAGGCAAAACGGGGCAAAATTCACTTAACCGCACTGTCTCGCTTAGCAACAAAAATGTTGGGCCCAGTTGTGGTATAGAATAGAATAGAATACAATAGAATACAATAGAATAGAATAGAATAGAATAGAATAGGAATAAAGAATAAGAATAAGAATAAGAATAAGAATAAGAATAAGAATAGAATAGAATAGAATAGAATAGAATAGAATAGAATAGAATAGAATAGAATAGAATAGAATAGAAGAGAAGAGAATAGAAGAGAATAGGGTAGGGTAGGGTAGGGTAGGGTAGGGTAGGGTAGGGCAGGGTAGGGTAAAGTAGAGTAGAGTAGAGTAGAGTAGAGTAGAAATAACATACAGAATAGAATAGAGTAGAGTAGAGTAGAAATAATATACAGAATAGAATAGAATAGAATAGAATAGAATAGAATAGAATAGAATAGAATAGAGTAGGGTAGGGTAGGGTAGGGTAGGGTAGGGTAGAGTAGAGTAAAAATATCATACAGAATAGAATAGAATAGAATAGAATAGAATAGAATAGAATAGAATAGAATAGAATAGAATAGAATAGAATAATAGAATAGAGTAGAGTAGAGTAGAGTAGAGTAGAGTAGAGTAGAGTAGAGTAGAGTAGGGTAGGGTAGGGTAGGGTAGGGTAGGGTAGGGTAGAGTAGAGTAGAGTAGAGTAGAAATAACATACAGAATAGAATAGAATAGAGTAGAGTAGAAATAATATACAGAATAGAATAGAATAGGGTAGAATAGGGTAGGGTAGGGTAGGGTAGGGTAGAGTAAAAATATACAGAATAGAATAGAATAGAATAGAATAGAATAGAATAGAATAGAATAGAATATAGAATATAGAATAGAATAGAATATAGAACAGAACAGAATAGAAAATGTGGAATGGAATGGAATAGAATTAGAATTAGAATAGAATAGAATAAAGAATAGAATAGAAATAAGGGAACAGAATAGAACGGTCACTAAAGAAACAGTTGTAAGGAGAGGACTGCTTGTACCCCTAGCGAGAGCGCTACGTTGATTAGCCCATTTCAAAGGTCAGGAAAACGCGCTGAGTTTAGAGAATTCCGTATTCAGCCGAAGGTCACCAAAAAAAGAGCGGAGAAACTTGCAGGACTTTGCAACTGGCACAGTCAGGAGATTTCCGAGGAATTTGACGTCGGGACTTTCTCCTGGTAGTGAAAATGCAGATTTTCAGCGCACGGTTGTTGAATGGGGACCTCTTCCAATAAAATAGAGGTTGAGCTTCACTTAACAACGGTTTGTTTAGTGACCGGAGTTAAAACAGTTCCTAGAAACAGTCACCCCCCCCCCTTGGCTCCTAAAGGGAACAAGCATTTCCCCTCTGGTGTTGGGGTGTGTTTGGGGGGCACAGCACCCCCCAAAAAACCTTACCAGGCGTGCAATTTAGCCGATTCGAACCCAGAACTCGGGTTTTCCCGGGATCGAAGATGTGGCGTGATTCCTTGATCAATAAAATCTCTCTCTTGCTTCTCGAATTTTACATTCTAATTTGAACCATAACCCTAAAAATAACCAAGTTCACGTAAACCAATTTCACGCTGATTCATTCCGCTGGTCATTTTATTCCGAGAGTTTTTTTTTTTAATCAAACCACGTTAAATTAAATTAATTTTTTTTTAAAAAAAGAGAGACTTGCCAACGTTCTCTTCAAAGGGGACGTTTATGCTAAATTCACACCGACACAAGGCAGGTGAAAGACGTAAGCTGTGTTTCTCCACCCTGGGCAAGTTTAAGATGATGTGGACTTCAACTCCCAGAATTCCCCAGCCAGCTATGGCTGGGGAATTCTGGGAATTGGAAGTCCACCCGTCTTAAACTTGCCCAGGTGGAGAACAACTGGACTAAACGGTTCGTTTTCTTTCTAGCTTCACCCCTCTCACATCGGACTACATTGCACATCGCCCCCAGCCGGTGTAGCCGAGATGCGCGGGCTGGGGATTATGGGATAGGCAATCAGATACACCCAGATTGCAACAGCTGGCGCTTGCAGCCCCGTCTTTCTTTTCCTTTGCTAAAGCTTTGGCGCAGAATTTCGGTGCCACGATCCCCCGTTGATGGTGGGGAGATGGGTGGGGGGCGTCCCAGGGTCCCCTGGAGGATGCACAAGAGAAGGGGTACATTTTGCACACGTCCACAACTCGAGGGGGAGCCCCATCAATCTGGTAGGAAGGAGGAAGCAGCAGGGAGAGCAGCTAGGCAAAGAAGTTGCAAGAGGTAGCTGCAGCGAGGTCCAACAAGTCAAAACGGCACGCACACACCCACACACACACACACACACCCCGTGTGGATGCCATCTTGACCGTTTGGATTCCCCCGCCCGACATCCTCAACTGAGGCTCTCTGCTCTCCAGGAGACTATCTGAGAATGAAGAGGGGAATGTCTGCCAAGGGGAATTTCTGCGAGCGAATGTGTGCAAAAGGATTTGCGCAGGGGAATTTCTGCGAGGGAACTTGAATTGGCGCCAAGGAATTTCTGCAAGGGAACGGGCGCAGGGGAATTCCTGCAAGCGAATTTGTGCAACGGAATTTCTGCCAGGGAATTTGCGCAGGGGAATTTGAATTTGCGCCAAGGAATTTCTGCAAATTTCTCCAAGGGGATTTGAATTTGTGCAAAGGAATTTCTGCCAGGGAATTTGAATTTGTACAAAGGAATTTCTGCAAGGAAATTTGCGCAGGGGAATTTCTGCAAGCGAATTTCTGCCAGGGAACTTGAATTGGCGCAAAGGAATTTCTACAAGGGAATTTCTGCAAGGGAATTTTAATTTGCGCAAAGGAATTTCTACAAGGGAATGTGCCCAGGGGAATTTCTGCAAGCGAATTTGTACAAAGGAATTTCTGCAAGCGAATTTCTGTAAAAGAATTTCTGCAAGCGAATTTCTGTAAAAGAATTTCTGCAAGCGAATTTGCGCAGGGGAATTTGAATTTGTGCAAGGGAATTTCTGCAAATTTCTGCAAGGGAATTTCAATTTGTGCAAGGGAATTTGTGCAGGGAAGCTATTTGGGGAGGGGAAGGGAGGATTAAGGGGAAACCCCGTGGGGTAGCTTGTACCCAAACCGTGTGTGTCCCCCATTGCTGAGAGTGACAGCAACCAAGGTGGCTGAGGCAGGTTTTGGCTGAGAGATTTGGCCATCCCGGTTGGAGTTTAACCTCTCCAATCCCAGGAATTATGTCCACAGTTGCCCAAGGCAGTTTGAGGGGGGGGATGTCTTGCTCTGGTTGGACCCCAACCCTCAAAGCCCCCTCCTCCGTGCAGCCCCCCCAACACAATCAAGGAGAGATCCCATTGACTCAGGATCGTCTGATCTTAAAGTTGGAAGCAAGGTAAGGGGCATCTCATCCCAGGGCTGTGGAGCAGGGGCTGGGGAGTCCATCAGGATTGGCACGATGAGCCTGCCACCCACAAGGCTGCCCGCTTAAACTAGAGGGCACCAGCTTCAGCGTCCCGGGTTCGACTTTCCTAAAAAACCGCTCTTTGGCAGACAAAAGAGGTTTAAGGCCGGGCTCTCCAGACTTGCGGACTTCAACACCCAGAATTCTGTGTGTTTCTCCGTCTCCGGTGAGGGAATTCTGGGAGTTGAAGTCCGCAAGTCTTAAAAGGGGTCCGATCCCTGGTTTAAGGCACTGGCGAATCAAATCCGTAGTAAGACCTGGCCTCGTGCAGCTGCAGCGAGTAACACCCCACACCCTCCCTCCGCATTCTCGCACGCCCGTTTACGCATTCAACGGCACGCGTCTGATCGGGTTCCCGCAGAGTCCAGAGATCTCTCTGCTCTGGATCCACGTCCACCTTTGGACTCCTGCGGCCGCTCAGCTCTTCACGGGGGTCTGCTCGGCCATGGGCCCCCCAGGGCAGGGGCGGCACTTTTCGGGAGTGGGGGCCTCCGAGGTCAACTGGCTGCCGTCCCCGGCCTCTTTGCCACGCCGGTGCTCCTGCCAAGCCGGCTGAGACAGGCAAGTGGAGAAACTGGGCACGGTCATCAAGACGAGGCTACCGGCCAACAGGAAGGACCCGGCGGCGAGGAAGGACGCCGCGTAGTTGCCGGTGAGGTCTCTGAGCCAACCTGGAAGAAGACGGCGAAAGAGTGAACTCGTGCCAGGATGGGCGGTGTCAATCACCCGGAGCAGTGGATCAACCAACCTGGACGTCGCCACACCTGGAATCCTGCATCCAGTTTTGGTCACCACGTTACCAAAAATAAACGAGTTTGGGACTTTGGGAAAAGTGCAACGAAGAGCAATTAAACCGATGAAAGGCCTGGAGGCTAAAACACACGGACGGTTGCACGATTTGGGCATGTCTAGTTAAATGAAAAGAATAGGGGAGACACGATAGCAGTCTTCCAGTACTTGGGGGGCTGCCCCAAAGAGGAGGGGGGGTTCCACCTATTCTCCAAAGCGCCTGAAGGCAGGACAAGAAGCGACGGATGGAGACTCATCAAGCTGAGAAGCAACTTGGAATTAAGGAGGAATTTCCCGACAGTGAGGACAATTAACCAGTGGAACGGCTTGCCACCAGACGTTGTGGGTGCTCCATCACTGGAGGTCTTTAAGAAGAGACTGGGCAGCCCCTTGTCTGAGATGTTATAGGGTCTCCTGGTTGAGCAGGGGTTGGACTAGAAGACCTCCGAGGTCCCTTCCAGCTCTATTCTGATTGATTGAAACAAACCATGATGTGACCTTAGGGGTAAGGACCTACCATCTCCGTATCCCACAGGTCCGCACCACATCCGATACAACCCTGGAGAATTCCTCCAGCGCTGTCGGAAAACATCTCAACAGGACAAAATCCCAGAAACATCTCAACAGGACAAAATCTGCGTTCTCCTTTGACCTGGATTTCCGCAAGGCCCGCAGAAACCAGACGAACGAGTTCGGAAGAGCGGCTACGATTGTGTTACTCCAGGGCTCCCCAACCTGTAAGCCACGGCCCAGTATCAGGCCGTGGCCTGCTGGCCACCGGGCTGTGGGACAGGCTAGTCATGGCAGGCAAGTAATAATAATAATAATAATAAAGTTGGAAGGGACCTTGGAGGTCATCAAGTCCAACCCCCCACTCAGGCAGGAAACCCTAGACCAGGAGTAGTCAATCTTGGCTCTTTTATGACTCGTGGATTTCAACTCCCAGAATTCCTGAGCCAGCTATGCTATGCTGGCTCAGGGAATTCTGGGAGTTGAAGTCCACGAGTCATAAAAGAGCCAAGGTTGACTACCCCTGCCCTAGACCATTTCGGACAAATGGCTGTCCAGTTTCTTCTTAAAAACTTGCAGTGTTGGAGCATTCACCGCTTCTGGAGGCAGGTGGTTCCACTGGTTAATTGTTCTAACTGTCAGGAAGTTTCTCCTTACTTCCAGGTTGCTTCTCTCCTTGGTTAGTTTCCATCCATTGCTTCTTGTCCTGCCTTCAGGCGCTTTGGAGAATAGCTTGACTCCCTCTTCTTTGGGGCAGCCCCTGAGATATTGGAACACTGCTATCATGCATGCACCCCCCCCCACCATTTGCGCTAGCACCACAGCCACAGGATGCGAAAATGGGATTCTGCCATGCCGCAGGGCACAAAAACGGGACACCGCACCTCAGGGTGTGAAAACGGGAGGCCGCCATGCCTTGGGGCACAAAAACGGGACATCCCATGGGGCGTAAAAACAGGACACCACGCCTCAGGACGTGAAAACAGAGTGCTGCGCCGCACAAGAACGAGGCAGGGCTAGTGAGTATCACGTTTGCGTCGCGCGCATGCTGCCTCCTCCGTTTCCCTCCGGTCCATCAACCGAGAAAGGTTGGTGACCTCTGTGTTACTCACCAGACAAGGGGGCCCCCAAGAGCCCCCCGACGCTTTCTATCATCTGGAGCAGCCCCATGGCGCTGAAGATGTTCTCGATGCCCACGATCTCCGGAATGATGGAGAAGACCACGGGCGTCAGGGCTCCGGAGAAGAATCCGTAGCCGAGGCTGATGGCCACAAGGAGCGGGTAGGTGCGGCCCCAGGCGATCAGCAGCAAGGAGACACCCGTCAAGAAGGTCCAGGCCACCAACAGGTGGATCAACCGTGACAACCTGTAGCTGCCCAGCCAGCCGGAGAAGAGGCGACCGCAAAGGTCCGCCACGGCCGCCACGGACATCAGAAAGGCAGCCTGGTACTCGTCAAAGTCCAGTTCTCGTGCCCGGGCCACCAGGTGGACGTAGGGGATAAAATAGCCTGTGTTGACCAACGTGACGGCCACCACGTACCGCATGAACGAGCCGTGGGAAAGGAGGTGCAGGCCGAAGAGATTGGAGAGGGTCTTCCAGCACGGCCCCGTCAGCTTTTTGCCGGACAGGTCCTCCTTCAGGGTCAGGGGCCGGATGAGGGTGCCACAGACCACGAGGTTGAAGGACATGCCAGCAACGATCATGAGGGCACCCCTCCAGGCGTAGGTGTCCACCAGGAATTGGAAGAGAGGCGAGAAGGCGAAGGAGGAGATGCAAACGCCGGTCAGGGCCAAACTGGTGGCCAGGGTGCGGCGTGTCTTGAAGTAGCGAGCCACGGAGGCCATGGAAGGCGTGAAGACCAACGCCCAGCCGAACCCTGCAACAAAATCAGAGGCGGATTCCAGTTCCCCCGTTGAGCTTTTGCTGAAAGTCAAGAGGTCTTCTAGAGTAGAGCACAATTCCTCAGATGGCATGGTTGAAGATGGGTGGACTTCCACTCCCAGAATCCCCCAGCCAGCCTGCTTTAAGATGGGTGGACTTCCACTCCCAGAATCCCCCAGCCAGCATGTTTTAAGATGGGTGGACTTCCACTCCCAGAATCCCCCAGCCAGCATGTTTTAAGATGGGTGGACTTCCACTCCCAGAATCCCCCAGCCAGCATGTTTTAAGAGGGGTGGACTTTGACTCCCAGAATCCCCCAGCCAGCTTGCTTTAAGAGGCTGGCTGGGGAATTTAAGAGGGGTGGACGTAGACTCCCAGAATCCCCTAGCCAGCATGTTTTAAGATGGGTGGACTTCCACTCCCAGAATCCCCCAGCCAGCCTGCTTTAAGATGGGTGGACTTCCACTCCCAGAATTCCCTAGCCAGCCTGCTTTAAGATGGGTGGACTTCCACTCCCAGAATTCCCTAGCCAGCCTGCTTTAAGATGGGTGGACTTCCACTCCCAGAATCCCCCAGCCAGCATGTTTTAAGAGGGGTGGACGTAGACTCCCAGAATCCCCCAGCCAGCCTGCTTTAAGATGGGTGGACTTTGACTCCCAGAATCCCCCAGCCAGCCTGCTTTAAGATGGGTGGACGTAGAATCCCAGAATTCACTAGCCAGCCTGCTTTAAGATGGGTGGACTTCCACTCCCAGAATCCCCCAGCCAGCATGTTTTAAGAGGGGTGGACGTAGACTCCCAGAATCCCCCAGCCAGCCTGCTTTAAGATGGGTGGACTTCCACTCCCAGAATCCTCCACCCAGCATGTTTTAAGATGGGTGGACTTCCACTCCCAGAATTCTCTAGCCAGCCATGCCTGAGTTTGTTTTTTTCCTCCTAACTCCTAGACCGGAGAGATTGCAGAGGAAGGGATTCTAAGAGAGTAACTCGGCCACCATCGGTGTATATATCAAAATTCTGGGAGTTGGAATCTACCCGTCTTAAAGCTGCCAAAGTTAAGAAACAGGGATCTGCATTGAAAAGGGTCTCACTTAGTGACGGTGTCTGTGCCAAAGAATTCCCAATTTTGACCGGCAGGAGAATGTCAGGGCAAAACTGGGGCAACGAAGAGAGAGCGCGACGTACCTAATTACGTACCTGAAAGGAGTCCGATGCTGAGATATAAGTGCACCAACTGGGTCGCAAACGATGCCAACAGGAGACCCAGGCCGGAGAGAAACCCCCCAACCATGATCACGGGCCGAGCCCCATAGTGGGAACTCAGAGCAGTTCCCACCGGACCTGAAAAGAACCATCAATAAACCTGGTTACCACGTTAACCGTTACACAATTCACTACACCTTTGAGGAGTGCAACTACAGGTCACCCTTGACTTACTCGTCGTTCGTTTAGTGACCGCTGGGAGTTACAACGGCGTGGGGAAAAAATGACTTGCCGTTTGGCCATTTTTCACACTTACGACCTCGTGGTCACATGATCAAAATTCGGACCCTTGGCAACCGGCTCCTATTTATGACGGTCGCAGCGTCCCCTGGGGGGGGTCACGTGATTCCCCCTTTTGCGACCTTCCGACACGCAAAGTCAATGGGGGAACACCAGATCCGCTTAACAACTGCGTGTTTCACTTAACGACGGCAGTGATTCAGTGGCAAAAAAGGTCACAAAATCGAGTCACTTAACCATCCCCTAGCTTAGCGATGGGAATTCTGGTCCCGACTGAGGTCGTAAGTCGAGGTTTTCAGGGCGTTGGACGTCCCTGTAGTTTCTCATGTTTAGCTGCTGGTGTGGACTTCAACTCCCAGAATTCCCTAGCGTAAGACTGAGAAATGCACAGAATTCTGGGAGTTGAAGTCCATCCACCTTAAATTCACTGAGAAATGCTGGACTGGAGGCCAAGGGTCCCCAAATGTGGCAACTGTAAGACTTGTGCACTTCGACTCCCAGAATTCCCTAGCGTAAGACTAAGAAACGCACAGAATTCTGGGAGTTGAAGTCCATCCACCTTAAATTCACTGAGAAGTGGTGGCCTGGAGGCCAAGGGACTCCAAATCTGGCAAGTTTAAGACTTGTGGACTTCAACTCCCAGAATTCCCCAGCCTGAGACTGAGAGAAACACACAGAATTCTGGGAGTTGAAGTCCATCCACCTTAAATTCACTGAGAAATGCTGGCCTCGAGGCCAAGGGACTCCAAATCTGGCAACTTTGAGACTTGTGGACTTCAACTCCCAGAATTCCCTAGCCTGAGACTGAGAAACACACAGAATTCTGGGAGTTGAAGTCCACAAGTCTTAAAGTTGCCAAGTCTGGAGACCCCTCCCGTTGAACAAATGCCATTTGTGTCCTGGCCCCCACCCCAGTAAGCCCCCTTCCTGTCCCCCCCCCACTACTCACTAGCAAACTGCTGCACCGCGATCCCGATGGAGGTGATCCAGGAGATCCGTCCGGACAATTCCTGGAAGTGAGCCACAAACTTGACGAAGAAAACGCCGAAGGATCGCAGAACGCCAAAGACCAAGGCAGACTGGAGGAAGGCAGCCAGGACCACCACCCAGCCCCAGCCCCCGTCAGGGGGGGCTGGGACAACGGCCCTCCGGACCAGCATGGATCCTTGGGGGGGGGGCAAGAAGAAACGGGGGGAAATGATGGAAAATCAAATTGGCATCCCAAAATGGGATCATCTAAATCTGGATTCCTTCCTTCCTTTCTTTCCTTCCTTCCTTTCTCCATCACTCCTTTTTTTTCTTCCTCTCTCTCTTTCTTCCTCCCTCCTTCCTTCCTCTCCCACCTTCCTTCCTTCCTTCCTTCTTTCTTTCTTTCTTTCTTTCTTTTTCTATTTCTTCCTCTCTCTCTTTCCTTCTTTCCTTCCTCCATCACTCCTTTTTTCTTCGTTCTTCCTTCCTCCTTCTTTCCTCTCCCTCTCCCACCCTCCTTTCTTCTTTCTTTTTCTTTACTCTCTCCCCTCCCTCTTTCGCTCCCTCCCTCCCTTTCTCTCTCTATCCTTTTCTTTCTCTTTCTCCCTCCCTTTCTCTCATTCTTTCTCTCCCTCTTTCCTTCTCTTTTTCTCTCTCTCTCCCTCCCTTCCGTTTTCTCTTTCCCTTTCTTTTTCTCTCCCCTCCCTTTCTCTCTCTCTCTCTCTCTCTCTTTCTTTCTTTCTTCCTGTCTCTCTCTCCTTCCTTCATTCCTCCATCACTCCTTTTTCCTCCTTCCTCCCTTTTCCTTCCTCCCTCCCTTCCTTCTCCCTCCCTCTTTCTTTTTCTTTCTTTCTTTCTTTCTTTCTTTCTTTCTTTCTCTCTCTCTCTCTCTCTCTCTCTCTCTCTCTCTCTCTCTCTCTCTCCTTCCTTCCCCTTTTTGGTGGCCTTCTGTGGTTCACCCCTGGCACTTTTACTTTCCTGCCGAAGGGGTCAGAAAAGTCAAAATGGCGGCCACACTTTACCCCCCCCCCTCCAGGGAGATCAAAAGACAGGCGAAGCGTCGACCCCATTCTCGTGGCTGCCATTTTGACTTTTCTGACCCTGCCCTGCTGCCAGTCCTGCTTCGTAGCGGATTCCTGGTGTGACTGGAATCCAGGAAACAGTTTCCCCCGCAGGGATCAAACCGAAAACGTGGGAATGCCAGCCGAAAGCTGGCAGAGCATAGCCTAATCCTGCTTAGGAACCCTCTTCTGTAAGATTTGGGAGGGGGGGCGCTTGGCATTCCCCTTGATTTTTGGGGTCCCCCCAGGGAGAGAATAAAATGGGATAGAGGGGGGGCATTCTATGGCCGCCTATCAACAGGCTAGAGGGCCTCTGAGGATGTGCAAAGCTCCTTTCAAGCCGGACACGCGTGCAGAGCGGAACGTAAGGAAGGTCTGCTGGGACTGGGATTGGGGGGTGGTCCTAAGACCCCCCCTCCCTCCCTGAGCATCTTCAAAGGCAAAGCCCACGTTCTCCCCCCACCCCAAATGGACCCAAACTCCCCCCCCCCCGCCCAAGCCCAGCAGGTGCAGCATCCGACGTGCCCTCGCCCCCTCCCCAGCCCTTCCCTTACCGGGGTGCCTGTGGGGGGGGACTCCAACCTGGCGCCCCCTTAGCAGCAACCGCGGGCGAGGAAGCGGCTCCGCTCTTGCAGGAGTCTGAGGAGGCGGGGCCTGCGGCGGGAAGCCACGCCCCCTCCGTCTCGTTCATCGCGTTCCAAGCATCCCTCCCTTCTTCTGCGGGGGGCGGGAGGGAGGGGGGGGAGGCGGTGGAGCCAGCGCAGGCGCACTGAGGACGTGCCAGAGCCCGGGGACGGGGGTCCGCGGGGGATGGGAAGCTAGGGGAAAAGCCAAAGGGGGCTTTACTCCCTCCCTCCCTCCTTTCCTTCCTTCCTTCCTTCCTTCCCCCACCCTCCTTTCTTCCCCCTCTCCCATCCTCCTTCCTTTCTTCCTGCCCTCCCTCTTTCTTTCTTTCCTTCCTTCCTTCCCTCCCTCCCTCCCTCCTTCCTTCCCCCCTTCCCCCCCCTCTCTCTCTCTCCCTCCTTCCCTTCNCCCTCACGCTGGCTGAGGAATTCTGGGAGTTGAAGTCCACAAGTTATAAAGGGGTCATATTTCCCTCACACTGGCTCAGGAACTCTGGGAGTTGAAGTCCACAAGTCATCAAAGGGTCCTAGTTCCCTCACGCTGGCTGATGAATTCTGGGAGTTGAAGTCCACAAGTAATCAAAAGGTCCTAGTTCCCTCACGCTGGCTGAGGAATTCTGGGAGTTGAAGTCCACCAGTCATCAAAGGGTCATAGTTCTCTCACGCTGGCTGAGGAATTCTGGGTGTTGAAGTCCACAAGTCATCAAAAGGTCCTCGTTCCCTCACGCTGGCTGAGGAATTCTGGGTGTTGAAGTCCACAAATCATCAAAGCATCCTGTATCATCCACGATCGTGGCGTGGGAGCTTGACCGTAGAGATCGTAGATATTTGGCAGGATGTTCCAGGCGGCTGGACCCTGCGCCACGCCGTTGACGAAGAAATGCAGGGTCCCGTCTTCCTTCCGCACGACACCCACCGTGTCGCCTGCCTGGGGAGGGGAGGAGGAGAGGGGAACAGCCTGAGAGAGGGCAGGTGACAAGTGTGAACAACCAGATCAGGGGTAGTTTGGCACCTGCCAGGTGGTACGCAAGCTAGACAAGTGTACATGGGGGGAATGACCTGAATTTGCTGTGTAAGAAAAGCAATAATAGCTCGATGCTGTTTTTTGCAGGAATAATCATACATTTGAAGGGACCAGTACTAAGAAATGTACTATAGGAATAGAATAGAGCTGGAAGGGACCTTGGAGGTCTTCTAGTCCAGCCCCAGAATAGAATAATAGAATAGAATAGAATAGAATAGAATAGAATAGAATAGAATAGAATAGAATAGAATAGAATAGAATAGAATACTAATGATAGAATAGAATAGAATAGAATAGAATAGAATAGAATAGAATAGAATAGAATAGAATAGAATAGAATAGAAGCTGGAAGGGACCTTGGAGGTCTTCTAGTCCAGCCCCAGAATAGAATAATAAAATACAGAATAGAATAGAATAAATAGAATAGAATAGAATAAATACTAATGATAGAATAGAATAGAATAGAATAGAATAGAATAGAATAGAATAGAATAGAATAGAATACTAATGATAGAATAGAATAGAATAGAATAGAATAGAATAGAATAGAATAGAATAGAATAGAAGCTGGAAGGGACCTTGGAGGTCTTCTAGTCCAGCCCCAAAATAGAATAATAAAATACAGAATAGAATAGAATAAATAGAATAGAATAGAATAGAATAAATACTAATGATAATAGAATAGAATAGAATAGAATAAAGAATAGAATAGAATAAAGAATAGAATATAATAGAATAGAATAGAATAGAATAGAATAGAATACTAATGATGGAATAGAATAGAATAGAATAGAATAGAATAGAATAGAATAGAATAGAAGCTGGAAGGGACCTTGGAGGTCTTCTAGTCCAGCCCCAGAATAGAATAATAAAATACAGAATAGAATAGAATAAATAGAATAGAATAGAATAGAATAGAATAAATACTAATGATAATAGAATAGAATAGAATAGAATAGAATAGAATAGAA